CCTTCTTCCTGATTTTCTTCTGTCTTGCTCTGATTTGTCTGGTCTGATTTTCTGAGTTGATGATGACAAATATGTTTGTCTGTCAGTCGTCAAAATTTGATCAACCTGATTCGATTTGGATCCTTTCTTGTCTTGTCTTTATTAAATCCCCAAAATCCCCAATTCCTTTTCCCTGTCTTGCGCCAACACCTGAGTACCCTTCCCTGTCCAGTCCGGGATCCTAACATCAACCAGACCATTGCCAGCGGCATGATACGCGCTGCTCAGCGCCAGCTCCACACCAAGGCCTCGCCAGTAGTCACGCCACGCTTTGGCTGCGAACTGGGGCCCACGGTCACTGAGAATGCGGTCAGGCAGGCCATGATGGCGAACCACATTGTCAAAAAATAAATTTGCAGTTGCTCGCGCTGTAATCGCTTTGACCGAAGGAATCAGGTGAATCATGCGAGTCAGTCGGTCTTTGCAGACCAGGAGCGCATCAAAACCTTGGTCCGGTGGCAAATCAGTGATAAAATCCACCGCCCAGTCACCAAACGGTCGCTTGGGAGCGGGGATTGGCATCAGCAGTCCGTACGGCGCATGCCGCGGGACCTTGACACGTTGGCACATGTCACACGTAGCCACATAGTGAATCACATAGGCACGCAGGCCTGGCCAGGCAAAGTCGCGACGAACCAGCTCAAGCGTTTTCAGCTCGCCGCCATGACCGGCCAACTCTGCGTCGTGTCGCATGAAGAGGACAGTGGACCTCAAACTTTCCGGGACATACAGTCGGCCATCCTTTCGCAGCAGGCCGTCAGCCAAGACGTAGCGCGAGTGTGGGGCCGCAGCCAACAGCGACGCTTGCGCATCCACAGCAGTCTCGAGACGAATTTTCCCAACCAAGTCGGTTGGAAGCTCGCTCGCACTGTGAGTAGCTGCTGGGGTGTCAGGAGCTGCTACTCCAGCATCGGCGGTTGCTAATGCGTCGTCGTGATCATGCGTGGCCGGCGAATTCGGGATTATGTGTGTTTGCGGCGCAAATGTCACTCGAGGGGCACGGGCACGCTCAGGCGCCGCACCAGCACCCTGGGTAGCATCACCGACCGCTTGCGCACGTGTGACAGGGGCAGCGATCTTGGTGAAAAGGCTGGGAGGCAGGATGGGCTCGAGGCGAGTGGGTTGTGGAGTCGCACCACTTCCCGTCCTCGACAAAGCATCCGCCGCTCCATTACGCGAGCCATCGATATGGAGGATCACGAAATCGAAGCGACCAAGCCTTTCCTTCCAATTGGTCTCGCGGGAGCTGAGCTCTTTCGCAAACGAGAATTCACGCAAATTGCGATGGTCCGAGTGCACCGTCGTCTGCTGTCGACTGCTCCACAGGTAGTGGCGCCAGGTCTCCAAGCACTCCACAATGGCAAGGAGCTCCTGCTCACCGACTTTGTAGCGAGTCTCGGCAGGACGAAGAGTGCGAGAGTAATAGGCAACCATACATCTCTCGCCTTTCGCATTGCGCTGCATCAGCACACACAATCGCGACATTAGAAGCATCAGCGTATACTTCATAAGGTCGTGAATGGTCCGGGAAGGCCCAAAACCCGGAGCCTCGCAGAATTTGCGCTTCAGCAGCTGAAAAGCCGCTTCACGCTCAGGTGTCCACACAAATGGCGTGTTCTTGCCCAACAGCGATGTCAGGGGTCGAACAATTTCAGCAAAATGCCAAATGTGACGACGAACAAAATTTGCAAAACCAAGCAATTCTTGCACGCCTTTCACATTTGTCGGTGCTGGCCACTTGGTGATGGCCGCAATCTTGGCCGGGTCAACCGCAATGCCCTCAGGCGAGACCTCAAAGCCCAAGAACGTGACCTTGTCGACATGGAACGTGCACTTGTTGATCGACAGGAACAATTGGTGCTCTTGAAGAATGCGGAGCAGAGCGCGAACATGCTCGATGTGCTCCTCCTCGCTTTCGGAAAAAACGATCAAGTCATCAAAGTAGCCACCAGCGAAGTCCTCGAGCGGCCGTAGCACTGAATCCATAAAACGCTGGAAGACGGCGGGTGCGTTGACCAGTCCAAATGGCATCACTCGCGACTGAAACACATTGCGATCGACCTGGAATGCCGTGAACTTCTCGCTAGCCTTCGTTAGGCGCAACTGTCCATAGGCACACGTAAGATCGAACCTGGAAATGATCTTCGCTTTGCGCAGGCGCTCGAGCAAACGAATGGGATCGGGGGTCGGATAGCGAATTCGCACCGTCGCCTTGTTCAGTGGGCGAAAGTCAAAGCAGACTCGAATTTCACCAG